TGAAGAAGTTTCTCCTCATATTTGAGTGGCCTTTTAGTTTTGTTCTCAGTTTTTTGTTTTTTCCAGGACTTTTTCTTTTCCATTCCTATTCATTCATCTATTCCTACTCATTCACCTTTTCGTTGCTCATTCACTGTCCCCCCTTACATTAAATGTTTGGTTTGCTCTGAATGGCCATTTATACAGGTATATATACACATATACAGGTAAGTTTCAAATATATTCTTACTTGAAAAATTACATCCTAGTGTCTAAGTAAACAAAAATTTCATCAACTCTGAAAAACTCCTTTCACTTCCAGGCATAGTAAGCAAGTAAGACAAATATTATATTGCATATATTAAACGAATTGCTCCTAGGAGCTCCATTCCACTATTATTCCCCAAAGTTGTTGAGATTTTTTCTTCTGTCTTGAAGATTACATTTCAAGGCTACTCTGGAGAGCCAAGTAATGTGCAAGATTGGGCTATTTGCTGACTTTAGATTTCCCCGTACAGTACACTATTTTCACATGGATACCATTTCAGCATCAGAACGGTTCAAAGCATGAACCAAATACTTTTGCAAAAGCTGAAGGTATGGCCGTGGCGCAGAGGCTGCAGTATGCAATTCTTCCTGTGGCCAGCACTGCATTCCAGAACTGTTTGGGAATACACTCTCTCCTGTTTAAAAGGGTTTAACAACTGAGAAGCTCCTGCAGCCAAACCGGACTCATAAGGCAGCTATGTGCCTGTTCTTTCATAAAGACAATGTTTTAAAGCCTACAATACAATGATGTTGTATATGGGGCACATACACAGAGAAAATCAGGCACAAAAGGTAGATGAACATCTAATCTAGAGAGTAACTTCTCAACAGAAAGTAAGACAAGCAAAGAATTCCTGAAAGCAGAAAATGAGCTTACAGAAATTGGTTGTGGCCCAGATTCAACACAATGGACTAAATCATTTTGACAAATCCTCTAGTGCTTCCTGAAACTTTATAGCCCCAGCAATAGGCAATTTGGAACACTTCTCTGAAGAACCAAGAGATCCAAGTCCTCTCTTGTATTTCAGTGGATAGAAGAGGAGAAAGAGAGCCTTCAACCTCATTGCCAATCACCAAGAATGGCTGTTCTCACGCTATTATAAACATTTGGTATCCATGGAAGGGGGATACCTAGCAGCAAACATTGGCAACCAAGGACATTCCACTCCCACTATATCGTCCACAATAGCAAGGAGAAAAAAAATAAATCCATAAGGCTGTTTCAATTAGGAAGCCTTTGAGAAGACTTCTTCAAAAGTCAGTGTCAGAAAATACCTTGAAATATGGGAATGTGCAACAACAGTTAGATGGGGGAAAACAAGCATCTTACTTTACTCTGAAAGCATTTACACTTCAGCCCAAAGTGGGAACATCCAATAATCTAAGAACCTTTTGCCAAGAACAAGGTCATAGTTTTTGGTTTTTTTTTTTAATTCAGAACAGAACCTAACACACACCACATTCTGCACTGAACAGAGAATCTCATAATTTACAGGTGTTTGAAGCCAGGTTTCAGTTTAATACAAACTCTTAACATGCAAGAACTTTCTTACACTGGGCTTTGTCTTTCCACTGGGGTTACAGTTCTGCAGCTCTTTAAAAGCTGTCAGTAAGAATGAAGCAAGAATTGCAAAACTCAGTTCTGCCCCAAAAGAGGTATGAACAGACAAATTCACTCACACCTAAAAGTATTTATACATTAACATACACTTGGACTGTTGATAAATCTGGAATTAAAGACTTATCTCTGTATATACATTAATACAGCAACAACCCAAACCTACACCAGATTTTGCTCCACATTAGGGCAATAAAGCCTTTAACGAGCTGAAATTTTATTTTAGCTGTTCATTTACTGTAGAAACAGTGAGCCTTAGCCATGGACCCAAGATATCATTCTGCTGGGTGCTACGCAGAGTTAAACGGTGCAAGTTGTTCCATCAAAAAAACCACCACCACCCCACACACCCCCCAAAAAAGTCACACTGCACTCAACTGGAGAAAAAAGGACGGGATAGAAGAGGGAGAAGCATTTATGTTCATTTTGGGAACTTGGGGGTTAGAAATGCTCAGTGTCAGTGTCGTGGTTAGGAAAATGTGGCAGTAAAGCAACGCAACGTTATTTCTAAATAAACAAAAAGATCGGTCCATCTGCTGATGAAAGACAGGATAAAGAGAACAAGAGAACTATTAAATTATCTACACTTCTGGGATTCTTGCTATTCTTTTGCAAAGTGAATGGCTTATGCTAATCAGGATGCATGTGAAATACATCATTCAAGCCTTCTTGTACAAATATAGTTCTTATTTATCCAGAAAGATCCCCACCAGCTGGCAATGTTTGCATACAATGTTAAACCCAACTTCAAGAGCCCATGCATTATGAGTCATTTTACATTTAAAAACATTAGTTCTTTTAGCTATTCCTGAAGATGGCGTATCCCATGAGAAGAATTTTAGTGGAATTCAACAATAATACATTATGTTACTGTCCTACTTCCTCTAGCACAAAGAAGTTACAAGTTTTCTGTTGTTTGGTATTTTTTTCTCCTAACAGAGCCTTGCCTACCGAACATCTTTGGAGAAAGGGACAAAAGGATTTGCACCAATGCCTTCTATATGAATTAAATATTTATGCTATACCCTCTTCAAGCACTTTCATCTAGAAACCTGTGGAATGTGATCTCCTGACCTTAACACTCAAGCACGTCTAAATCAGCTGCCCTTTGAGCTGTACTGCAGACTACAGAGAATTTTTATACATTTGTACTACAGGCATACAAAAAACTTCTGGCCCAGACATGGCATTCTGTGCTACAAAGCATACACTAGCCCAAAGTCACTCAAGCATGCTTCAGGAAAGAGCAATACTTTGATTCTCCCGCGTTTACAGCACGATCTGATGTCATGTGTCACCATACACAGGTAGAATGATGAACCATGCTATCAGTACATTAACCAGCCATCACAATTTAAATATATGTCATGCCAAACAATACCACAATTACGAGGTGCCAGCACCACTGCAATCCTATGTCCTACTGTATGGCCCGTTCTGCCCACTCCACACTGCCCAGCCTCCTTTCTGCCTCCAGCCTCCTCCCCAGGACAGGCACTGCTGCCTGCAAAACTTCTCCAGAATCAGAAAGGCAAGGAGCTTGGGGCAAGACCAGGCGCCCCTTTGCCTTCTCCTAGAAATCCTACTCTTTCCTCAAGAAAGCACTAGAGCAGAAACAAACCATTCTGTGTTGCTTGTGGCTCCCAGGAATGCTTTAAGGACAGGGGTTATATTGCAAATAAGTGTCCTGGTGAAAAAGAGAGGGAGCCCAAGTGCCCCACGTGAACCTACAACTTCAACTATGGGACAAATTTTTCCAGGGTCAGCTCATGACCCTGCTCCTAGGAGAAGCAGTCACTGAGGTAACCCTGGTGAAAGTCTGACCCAAAGATTTAACACGGTCATGGTCTTGATGGTAGAGTCCATGTTTTTATATCAGCCCTGAAAAAAACGATGTGATGCCGCTGCCCATCGCTCACACAGGAGCAGCACAAGGGCACAGGACAAGCTCAAGATGGTTCATGTGTTCCCACCCTGATATGGCAGAAAGGCTCAGTGCCCAGCAAAAAGTCACAGGTAGCAGAAAAAAGTGAGACAGCAGCCAAAACCTATGCCATGTCTTCTACCCCAGGATGGATCCTGGCCAGTCACCTCACAAGTGGCCCTGCTGGCTGCTACAGCTCAGCAGAGATTAGGACACCCTCAGTTCTCTGAGGGTCCATAAGCTCAAAGCACCCTAACTTGCTGCCCCCCTCCAAGGGAGGAATGAGACACCTTTTCCCCCTTTTTCCACCCACAGAAATTCCTCCAAGAGAGGGTAGAGGAAAGAAAGACCACAATAGACCAATATTAGCAATTCCTGTATCATCTACAGGAAAAACCCACGCAGTGGGGAAGAGCATGATGTCAAGGCTGGTTTCACCACAGAAACAGCCAGATCCTCCTACTGGGAGATGCTGTGTGTTTCCACAGGGAACAATATAATCCTTCCTGCAAGGAGGAGTCCTACTACCAGCAACACGGAACTCCACAGGTCCTTCCTTTGCACAAAAGACTGGTAGCAATGAAACTCTGGCCGTGGGAAGCGGGTATGTGGGTACAGAGCTGGAGGAGAAGTAAAATTAGAAATTCCCAGCGGTATTATCACTTGTAAAGCAGCACACATTCAGCACTTGGCCTCTAGAGAAAGGAGCATGCTACAAAATATGTTTCCCTGCACAGAGTCTGGGCCTCCATCCAGTTATTATGTGCACATGTCCCTGCTGCGTTTTCAGTTTTACTTTAGAAAAAAATCTCAAAACAAAGAAAACATATCCTCATACTCACGCTGTACAGTGCCAAGCATGTTCCTAGCCATGTTCATTAATCTGTTAAGGCATGTTAACTATGGGTTCAACACTTTTACACCTTGTGACACAGCAGTAAAACACTCTAATGTAAAACAAATTCCAGTGTGAAACAAGAAATCTCAACTGACTCTGGAAGCCCTGTTTGCACACGTGCATACGTAATGCACATACAGGCTTCTCTGTGAAGCATGACGAGCAAAGACAATCTTGACACGTGGATTACAAGCACAATGACTGCGATTATTTTCTCAAAAGAAAAGAGCACCGCAAGAAACGCGGCTGCTTTCAAACACAGCCTTACGGAAACCCACTTCAGCGACTTTACTTTATCCAATTACACACAAGTACATCACTATTAATTTTGGCTATTTACAGCCAGTCGTGAAATGGGTGAACAAGTGTGTTTTGCTTTTTTTTTTTGGCAAGAATTCTGCAAGATGAAGAGTAATCTCTACAGGAGAGAGAAGCGATGGGCAAAAGCTGACAGAGAACAGAGCCGGTCTAACTCCCAGGTTTGGCTGCAAGAATGAACGCCGAGTCCCTTGTGCCACGAGCACGTCTCTTACCTACTGATCTGCTGAAGACAAAAGGGTTTTCTTCTTTTCAGAAACTGGACACTTGTAGCTCGTTGGGTCAGTCACACAAAGCTTCCCTGCTGCCAAAGGTATTTTTTTCCCCTCGGGTTTTTGTTGTTGTTGTTTAGTTTTTTACCCCAGAGAGTAAAGGGCAGAACAGTGGATTCAGCAGGGGCAAAGGGTGGAATTCGAGACTTAACAGGCGAACTGCAGAGCTCTCTCTAAAAGATGTTGTATTTCAAGGCGCTTTCACTTGCAAATCCTTCTTCATCCTCAGTGTCAATAAAACTGGAGGGGGGGGGAAGTAAACTTTTTAAACT